CAGCCCCCCCAGCAAGCGGAAAGGTGGCCACCAAGATCCAAGGAAACGCCAAGAAGGCTTTGTTAAAGTGGGTTCAGTACACAGCAGCCAAGTAAGTCCCAGGCGTTGGGTTCCATTTGAAACCCTTGAAGAACGTGAGTTACCAATGCATACCGCGTGCATCTTCCCATGACTGCAAAATTTGAAGAGACATTTGAGTGAATAGCTTTGCTTCAGGTCTTGCTTCACTCTTTCCTTGAGTTAAAATGTAAATACTAATACTCTAGGAAAATGCTGTAATAAAACCAGTTTCCTTCTTCATTTATGTCACTAGGTCTGATTAAGTCATTTAATCCCTACACTTTGATTAGTAGCATGCGGGACAATTCTATTAAAGTCATTGCTTTGGACTTTTGCTCCTCTTAAATAATCTTTACACAAATAAATTTAAGATTTAAACTTGGTTATCTCGTTGTAAGACTATTGGGTTCCCTTTAGTAATAATGTGAACTAAGGTTCACATTTTGAAATATACATGCTATTATTTCCTGAAAGTTCCTAGCAATTTTATTTATTCACTTTATGCTTTGGTTTCATCTTCTAGCTGGAATGTGGATTTCTTTGTCAACTTCAGCTTTATGGCTCAATAATTTGCTTCTAGTTTTGTTTCCTTCTAGGTATAGTGAATTTACGTGTGTGTACATTTATGTAATAATGCTGGGTAGAAAAATACTACTTTGAAAAAGTATCTTTTTGTAGCAATTTCAGTAGAGCTTTCAATTGAGCACAGCAATATTTAATGGTAAGATCTGTTCACATAGAAGCTGTGATTTGTATGATTTTCCTACATGACATGTAAAATGAACTCACTTTCTGTTTTGTTTTGGATGCCTAAATCTAATCTGAATCTTATTCTTCACTTCCGGAAAATAGTTGTAAACAAGCACTTATCATTATAAAATATTGAGGCCCTAAACACAGGGAGTTCTATTTTTAAAGTGTTTGAAAAGCCAAAATAAGAAAAGATAAAAATAAACATAAAGAAGATATAATTAGTGTTACTAAATTATGTAGTTTTTAAGTGAGGAAATGTGAGCAAAGGGAAAATATAGATAGAAAAGTAAGATGGATCCAGAGGCGAATGTATAAATGAATAAATAACAGAACATTCTGCCCAATCTTGGTGAATATTGGCCAGTATGTGAGCTGAAGAAATTATAAATCTACTACCAAAGACAGAAACTCTAAGAGAACTAGGACAGGATTCAAGATTACTTGACAAATACTGAAGTCTTACAAAATTGTTTTTTAAATATTTGTGAGAAAGCCAGTGATTATATCTTATGATGCTATTTTTAGGACAATGTATTTAATGAAAGCTGAATGTACATTGCTAAAACATAATTTAAAGTAAATCTTAAGTTTACTGAGATAAAAATTAAGGGCATTTATGAACTTTTGATGCTAATCAGTTTATCAGATATGTTTTTTGCTTCAGTTCATGGAAATTTTGAGAATATAGGGTAAAAAAAGAGAACTGAGTGATGGTACTTCATCTAATGTCTATTATATTATGTCTATTATAACCTGTGCATGTACAATACAATTTGCTTATCATTATTATTTAAAATGTTATTTTTATATACATTTTTATAGTTTTACCATTATTTTGCCAGACATTTTAATCTAAACTAGTTTTCTTTAAAATATGCTTTCAATTGAGTATCTCTATCACTGAAAAATCTAATATAAATATCTCTAAGTATGGCACTAGAATTTCTACATCTTAACTTCTTACCCTCTAAAATATTGTTTTGCTTAATTTTTCTCAAAACCAGTTAACTAACATAGCTAGCCCCGTATCATTTATTGCTTAAGAGAATTGGATTCTGCATGAGGCCCCGTATCATTTATTGCTTAAGAGCATTGGATTCTGCGCGAGGCCTTGAGAAAAAATGAATATTATCTATTCAGACTGTGACATCTTTCTATTTTTTTAATCTCATGAAGGCAGACCGGAATAGAGATCAAAGACTTCGGGCGGAGTTGGAGGAACGGGGTTGCCTTTCACTCAGTCATCCATGCTATCCGGCCAGAGCTCGTGGACTTGGAGAGGGTGAGAGGAAGGTCCAACCGAGAAAACCTGGAGGAGGCTTTCACCATTGCTGAAACGGAGCTGGGGATCCCCAGGTTACTAGATCCTGAAGGTACATTCAATAGCGTTTGCCCAACTCAGTAGACTTGTATGTTTTACACACAGAAATCACACATGGTTTTCATGACTCTCTGATAGGACAGAGAATTTGAGAACAGCACAAATATAAATAATATCTCCCTGTATTGATTTTCATTTTGAAAAATATTTACTGCTATAATTGGTAACACACTATAGCTCTATTGCTCCAAATGACACTTTGATATCATGGCTCTATATTTGGGCGGGGGGGAGGTCTATATTTGGCCAGATGTAGTTATGCAAGCTAGATAGTCACTTGTTATTAAGTGCCCCGTCTGTGTTTTAAATGCTACCCACTCACCACAATTCTGAAACTTACCTATTTTGTGTATTTTATTAATTAGAAGAATGCCTGAATAGCCAAATAGTATCTCAGGGTTTTGATCAATTAGTGTCGAGATTTCAATGAAACAAGTACTACTTTTCTAAAAGCTCTTAAAATGTCATCTTTATGAATTATACAATTTCTAGCATGTATGATTCAGACTACATTTGTCCCCCCAAAATATTTCTAAATGTTAATTATGTTTTTCTTCTGCCTTTAGTATAGTGTTTTTTGGTAGGTTGGCTAGATTTCAAAGCTTGTATCATTATAATCTAATTAACATAAATTAATTTGTTTTTGGTTTTTCCAGATGTTGATGTGGATAAACCAGATGAGAAGTCTATTATGACCTATGTAGCCCAGTTTCTGAAACACTATCCTGACGTCCACAATACAGGCACTGATGGGCTAGAGAATGATGTAAGTATTGGCTTTTCTTTAAGTATTGATATGCACTCAATGACAGTAACTCAGATATTTAAGCATGCTGTTTCCAAAAAGTTAAATTGTAATGCCTATTTATATTGAGCAACTGAGTAAAGAATAGATATCACCGATTTTGGAGGTGATCGGAGGGAAAGACTTCTCTGATTTGTATGTTGACTATGACAGAAAAGGCAATATTAAGTGCTGGAAATGTAACACTGATAAGTTAAAATTGAGGAAAGATATTGGTGTTGGGAAACGTTATTTTAGTAATTTAAGGATGGAAGACATTTCGTACCCATCTCATCATGTGTGCATCTAGATCTTGAGTCCACTGTTCTATTCAATCTGATGAAAACTAATTTTGACTTTTAGACTTTATTATATAAATTACTGTTTACATTACACAGGGCAAATCTGTAAAAGTTCTAATTATTCACCATGGTTAGATTTTTTAGCCTTTCAATAGTTTAAATAACATTTACATATTTTCATACTGCTCACATGACATATGCTTATTGTAATAATTAAAAACAAAATTTGAAAAAAAGAAATTATCTCTGTTCGACCTTCTACAGAGAATGTATTCTAGAAAATCATTTAATGTGTTAGTGTGATATCCAAACATTTCTCTATGTATTTATAGGCACATATAATATTTTAACAAAAATAGAATCACAGTATACATACAATTTTAAATTTCCTTTTCATTGTACAAAACTTTTCAATGTCATTCTCTCTAGGTCTTCTTATATATGTACAGTAATTTATTTATTCAGTTTTAATTTTTGGAAATTTCTGATTTTTTGCTGATATTAACAATGCTTCTGTCAACAATTTTTCAATAAAGCATTGTTTTATAGTTCTGTCTTAGAGATGTACCTCCTAGGCTAAAGACTAACAGATTTTTAATGCTTTTTGAAACTTTTTTCTTTTCAAATCCCTTGTAGGAAAGTTTATCCCATTTTATACTTTAGCTAGTTCACCAGAAAGCCTGTTTTCTCAGGCTTTAACAACAATGGATATTACCGTTTTCCTAATTTGTTAAAAGTAGTATTTTTTTTATTATGGATAATTTATTATAAGGCAAAACGACACCAGGGAAAGTAACAAATGGAATTTTCAAAATGTGTTGAAAACAATCCCTCTGTCTTTATTGCTTACATCTCATCTAGAGTTTTCAGAGCAGTTTGAGAACACGATGAAGAGCAACAGCAAAAACAAAAGAACAAACTAAAATAGGTTTTCGAAATAAACTCAGAAACAGGTTTGAGGAGGGAAAAGGCCAGGGGAACATAGCCCAAACTTTTCAAATAGGAAAAGGCGTTGCACTAATAGAAATCAGCGACTTCATAAGAGAATTAAGCAGAACCCCTGTCACTGGTTGCTTGGATGAAGTTAATCCGGCATTTGATAGAACTATAGTAGTTTCTTAAAAACTACAGATTCAGGAAACCTTTTTTGTTCCTTGCCAGGATTAGGGCAGAAGCATGGACCGCCTGAGTGACTAACTTACCTATGGCTAGCAGAGTAATTGTCCCTATGGACCATCCCAGGAGGCCAAAGCTCAGACTCTGTGCAAATCCCAGCATAGATCTCCAGTCACGTGCTTAGGGCCATTGGGAGATGTCTGGGTTTTTGAGAATATAATCAGGCAGGGGTGCTGCTATGTAAATAAGAAACTCTAAAGAAAGCACGTTAGACAACACAGCATCGAGAAAACCAGCTTCCCCTCTGATTTTCAAATCTAACGTCTGTATGTTACCCAAGTGGATTTATTTCTGATCTGGTTTTAGAGTTCGTAGTATTTTAATTTCTGACATTAATCATCTCTCTGGATGAGAAAATTTGGTGGCTGGGAAAGTCTGAGGAACAAAAGGGGGTGCTTTCCTAATGCTCACAAACAGGAATTTAAAACAAAAACCCTTAGAGACTTGAAACACACACACACACACACACACACACACACACACACACACATACACACACACACACACACACACACACACAGTCCTGGCATAAGCTTGTTAATGTACTTTACTAAAGAGGCTGTATTTCCCTGAGATCATTCTCATTATCTGAAAAAAAAGTTCTGATTGTTCTTTTAAAAATACCCTCTGTCCCTTCCCTAAAAAGTGGATGCAAATGATTTCTACAGGGTTATTTCAAAAATTAATTTTGAGAAAAAATATTTTAAACTTTGCCCCTTTTTAATGTGGCATTTGTGAAGTTGGGCATAACCACCTAAAATGGTTATTTTGAGTAGAAAAATGTATATTTTCATGATGTAAAGTCATTTAATGAAGCTAAATGACCTCCTAATTCTGCCTCATGAACCATGAAGATTTTATAGACTATCTCTGTGGGGGCTATTGATGCCATCACTTCAAGCACTCAGTACTTGTCTACGCAAGTCTCAGTAAATAGTGGTTTTTTTAAATCAATTTTTAAAATATTGGCATCAATATATCTACCAGGCTTCCATTTTTGGTGTAATTGATTTCTATGTCCTCTTTATGAATTTATTTAAATAATTTTATTTAAATTAGATACCATTTTAAATGAAATTTTCTTTCTTGGAATATACACAATAATTTTTCTACCTCAATCAATAAAACAGATAAAGAAACTTTTAGCTAAAGATATTCCTTGGATAATCAGTACTCAATGGTAAAGTTAAAAAAAAATAGTCCTATTGATCCATGTGTCTCACCAATTAAATATTCAGTTGTTTATCACTTATTCCTTCTCTCATTGCAACAAATATTACTGGCTGCTTTCAGAAGCACAGCATAGCCTTAATTGTTGATATAGAGACAGAGAGAGATGCATACTCTGATCATATTTTTAGAGAGAAAAATAAATAAATCCACATACCTTTTCTTGACATTGTTCTTTTTTATTTATTATTATTTTTTATTGATTTCAAAGAGGAAGGGAGAGAGAAACAGAAACATCAACAATGAGAATCATTGATTGGCTGCCTCCTGAACACCCCGCACTGAGGATCGAGCCTACAACCCAGCCTGTGCCCTGATGGGGAAGCGAACCATGACCTCCAGGTTTACAGTTGATGCTCAACCGCTGAGCCATGCTGGCCAGGCTACATTATTCTTTTAAAAAGTTTAAAATTTCAAAATGCGTTTATAAAAGACATTTATAAAATGCGTATATTGCCATATATGACTATTACAAATTAAAATGAAAACATCAAATGCCAGAATACTACATTGCCTTATCGGATTCAAATATTTGATACTTCAAAAGTTATGAAAACAAAACAAAAACACACACAAAAAAACTTATGAAGCCCTAGCTGGTTTGGCTCAGTGGATAGAGCGTCAGCCTGTGAACTGAAAGGTCCCAGGTTCAATTCAGGTCAAGGGCACATGCCCGGGTTGTGGGCTCAATCCCCAGTAGGGGGCGTGCAGGAGGCAGCCAATTCATGATTCTCTCTCATCATGGATGTTTCTATCTCTCTCTCCCTCTTCCTTCCTCTCTGAAATCAATAAAAATATATTTTTAAAAAACTATGAAAAACATCTTAAAGTAACTATACCCTTAAAATTAGTATCTATTTATTTATAGACAAATGCTTCCCCATTGTTCTTTTCTTGTTTCCTATATAATTTTGTCCCTGATTTATATTATTTTCCTATATATTATCTTTTCATATTGTTAGGAAATATTTCCAGATTTCCTACTTTTTGCAAATTCTATCCAAAATCTTAAGGTAAGATTTAAGTAATCTTGAATTAGTGACTTCTTTCAAGCATCCTCCATTCCATAGTTAGTTAGCCATTCTTTTGCATGTATTTGCTTTTATATACACATTTCTTTTAATACCTTAATTCTGTTGTTTTCTTTTCCTTTCTATTAGAACAAATAACACATGTAATTATTATAGAATGTTAATTACAGTCTAAGCCACTCCCATGGACTTTTCCACTAATCTTTAAATATATAATGACATCAATTAATACCTCTTGAATAACACTTAATAGCACTAATAAAAATAAAACCTTACAGTGATAATATTTGTTTTTATTATATTTGAAATGGAAAATAAAATTAAAGACTTTTTTATATTTTAAATAATTAAGAAGGAAGTCATTACTTGAAATAGGTAAGTATTCAGTTAATTTATAATCCTGAGTGAATCGCATCTTTTCTGCCCAATATTGGGTCACATGGTTTAGTAAAGTTCACACGGTTTAGTAAAATTTTCTTGCTGGGAATACACCCAATATACTTTTCTACTTCAACCATTCCCTTTAAGACATTCCCTTTTTGTAAACATTTTTTAATTAAATTAGTGTGTGTGTATGTGTGTTTTTTGAGAGAAAAAATAGAGATAATTTTAGTATTCAAATAAAATTAATGTACTTTTACAGAATTCACTCTTGATTTTTATCCTCCAATAAGGCGTGATGGTGGGAAAAGAGAAGAGTTTTCAGAGACAATTGAATGATTGAATATTACGTCTACTCTACGATCAATCTGGTATTAATCAGCAATTAAGTGCACAGTTACTAATAAAATTATAACATCTGCCGGTTCCTAGAGAGAAGACAGGCTAATGCTGAAGGAAACAAAAGTTTGGATAGAGCAATTCGAAAGAGATTTGACAAGGGCACAGATGACAGAAGCAAACTTGCAGGATAAATATCAGGTAATGCATGAAAAAGAGACTTCAGTTTTTAAAAGCTTTGCATGAGTAAGATTCATATATGTCATTTAATCTATGTTTAATATTTCAAGTGAGATGAATGAAAAAAAGTCCATAAAGAAATCATGCGCATTATCTTGCTTGCATGTGATTTAATAATTGTGTTTCTACATAAATAAGTGGTTTGAATTGTGTGGGTCCATACTGTGTATACAGCTCTGAGGCTGCGTGACTTTTCCAGAACTCAGAGTCTTATAAATAACCCAGAACACAAATACCTAGTTGTTTTTATAGAAGTCATGATTTTGCAGATGTCACATAACAACAAAAGAAATCCACCAAAAAATGGTTTCAGTACCAAATTAAAAAATACTATAGAATAAGTGGAATTGAATACAGGATTGCGCCGTGTGTATTTGGAGTGGGCCCATTAATGGGACCAGTTTCTACAGCCACCTGCCTAGTTCCACACGATTGCATTCAGGTGAGGCAGGCTGGTGGTTGTTTGCCCCAGTCATGTTACCCTGTTGTTAACTGGACTTGGCTTCCAATTTCTACTTCCAAGACACAAAATCATGTGACAGGTTTCCCAATGAAATTGTGACTTATTCTATGCAGCATTGACATTTTCCTCATATTTAAGGTAGTGTTGCATTTTAGTAGCAAAGCTATACTATAGTGTACATTATATTTCAATCATTTGCACTACAAAAAAGGTATCATGATGTGAGAGAGTCAACATGGCAAACAATAAAAGATTTATCTATTGCATTAGTGTGTGACTTCATATAACCATATCTACAAAGTGTGCCTGAATTTAGATGGATGATGCCACCGATACGACATTTGATAAAGTTGGCAAAGCGGACAATGTGTAGGATATGCTTTTTTTTTTGCTTTGAAATTCAATGTAATCTTTTCCCCTCAAAAATAAAACTTTCGCCCTGACCGGTTTCATTAAAATAAATGATTAAACCAGTAAATTGAGAATAGAAAGGCAAGGATAGAGTACATGAACTTATTTGGTCCATTAGTGAGTTTTAGTTTTAGCATAAATTGTCATGAACGAAATTTCAAGTTGTAAAAGTACCTGTTGCACAGGTGCTATTTTATAAAACGGAACCAAAGGATAAGAAAAGCACAAAACAGAAACACTCCCCTGGTGATCACCAGTTTTGTGAAATAGGGTTAGAGATCATCTGAAATCTGAGCAGAGGGAACATTTCCTTTGGTTTGTGGGTTTGTGTGTCATCAACATTTTCTATCTGTTTCCACTTTCAAACAATAGGGTATTTTCCAGTTTTTCCATGCATAGAATTTTGTGGAATAAAATTGAAGATTGATTTTATGTTTTGGTAATTTTTTATTACATTAAGTTACAGGAATAGGAGTACCTGTGGCAAAATATTGATTCACCATCTCCCCCCAGTGTTCTTTACGTAGATTTACATGTGCGTTCATTCTGAGATTTAGACATTCTTTTAGATGTGTTTGTTATCTGATAAATTCTGCAGGGCCAGCCTCATGTTCTTTAACATCACTGCGCATGTTAGCGGTCTTTTCAATTCACATGTGAACATGGCGTCACCTTTTAGGATGCGTTAATTTACTATAAAATGTGTAGCATGTACTTAGCCTGGGGCCTGGCTCATGGTCAGGGCATGATGAATGGTAGCTGCTATTCTTATCATATCTGTTATTGTTATTATCAACAACATATATTGAGTGTTATCCAAATATAAAAGGTTGTTATTTAGGAAATGTCGTTTCCTTTGCTTTTTTTGACTCGTTGCCATATTGTTGCTGTTTTTCCTCTTCTAGTCATTCAAGCACTTCAGAGTCCAATATGAAATGAAAAGGAAACAGATTGAACATTTAATACAACCATTACAGAGAGACGGTAAATTGTCACTTGACCAAGCATTGGTGAAACAGTCCTGGGATCGAGTGTCCTCCAGGGTGAGTTCCCCCACGATTAACTTCATGGGGCTCACGTAGTTTAGTCAAGAACATTTTCCATCACCCTTTTCTACACTGTGATGTTGCATCAGGTCCCCTGCCTCTGCCTGAGGTAGGAAAGGCTTTACTGTGGGAAAATCTTTGTCCTTTAAGTTAATGGAAGTGCTACTATAACACCTGTCCTGCCTCGCCTGCCCTACATGGGCTGTCACCATTGGCCACATGACAGACTGAAATCTTGGAAGACCATGAGGGCTACTTCCCACTTTACACAAATTAACTCTGGGTTGTTTAACACTGGAGCCTTCACAACTTCTCCATTTTCCATAATCATGTTTCATCAATAGTTAATAATCTCCCCATATTCACATTCATTTTTATATTCTTTAATTTAACCTATCTTCTTATCTGGTCTTTCATGAACCTGAAGGAAAATTGCTCAGTAACTTTTGCAAACTTAAAGACCAAGATTTCAAAACCTGTGACATTTCTATCACTAATGGGGCTATTTGCCTTGAACTTCCCTATTTTCTTTGTTTCTATAATCTATTTTTGCCATAGATTTCATCAAATACTGGCTTAGTTTCTAAGTACCTTACCCCATTCTACCTGGCATTCCATCAAGCTGGAAAAAGGTGTTTGAGAACTGACTGAAGTGGAAGACATGCAGACATGGTTCAGAATTATATAATTATAAAAAGAATCCTGACCACTTGTCTGCCTCCAGAGATGTCTAGATGACCCTGGTTTTTCTGATTCCTGGCATGTGGGGTGGTCCACATGAGCTGGTGCGTAAATTCCTGCATCGCTGAGCATGTCCGCACCCCAGTCCTTGTACTGCA